GCGAAACTCGGGTGACGAGGCCGAGCGGTTGCGGTGCTCTGCGCTGGGAAGCGAAGAGGCGGCGGCGAACGCGATGCTCGGCCGAGGGTTGACGGAGCGAGGTGCTGAGCGATGGAGCGATGATCCCGGCGGCGGCAGGCAGCGGCGGTGACGATCGGTGCTCGGTGCTGCAGGGTCTCCTCTGCGTCTGTTCAAGAGGGGTAGAATCCCACCTTCGTCGCCAGTGAAAAGTACTCAGAACGAAGAGTGATTTCAGCAAGAGTACTTTATTTAGTGAAGAACAAGACAAGAACCCCCGGCACGCAGGCCGGTATATATGTCCAGAGACCCACCACCAAAACACACCCCCTAGTGACCCTATAGGTTATTTACAGTGGCCGAGAGTCCCATTGGCTCTCAGCCGCGGACCTGGCCCTCTGGTTGGTGCGGGCTAGGATCCGCTCCACTATTGTTCTGCAGGAACGAAGCTATGGGCATGTGCTTGACCGCATGGCCCAACGGTCGCGCACGTGGTAATGGCGGATACATTACACCCAGAGAGCACTGAGGTCGGGGACTCAAAATGGCCTGACTGTCCCTGGCCCCAAGGATGCCAGACTGGCTATCACCAGAACTAGGGCCTTCTCAGTGGTGGCTCCATACTGGTAGAATGAGTTTCCGGAGGACATCAGGGCCCTGCGGGACCTTCTACAGTTCAACAGGGCCTGTAAAACCGAGCTCTTCCACCAGGCTTTCAATTAGGAGCCGCCACTGAATGAGCTACTGAACATCTATTACTGGCACTTTCTTTGGGATACTGGTCTAGTCATATGGGGCCAACTACAACAATCACCATCTGCACTTTATAGTTTGTATTTAATCTGCACCTTATATTTTATTGTTAGAATTTTATCTGTTTTTATTGTAAATTATTATTGTACGCCGACAAGCAAGGCAGGATAGAAATTGAAATAAATAAATTGTTGCTTCAGGGTAGCTCTAGGCATCGCCAGTAGCTCTATGGTCAGAACTCCCAGTAAGAAGCCAAGGACTTATTTCTCATTTTAATTTTTCTCCAGGGATTCTGCCCCCCCAACCTTTCTGCCACCCATCCCACTGCCTGGCAACCCTTCCTACAGGCCATTTGTTTTTGGGGGGGCTTATAAGTGGGGTCACACAGGCACTGAACCAACAGTCAGAGTTTCTACATGAGAACAATGGGAGGAAAGGGGTAGAATGCCAAATGAAAGAACAGAAAGAGCCAACCGATTCTCCCCTCCCTTGCAGCAAGTGGAAATGTTCTCTCTAGACTTCTGCGTATCCCCAGCTCAGGAAACAACAAAGTGCCCAGGAGTGACAATGGCCCTCTCTCACACCACGATATGTCACCCTCTCGCCCTCCCTATGCCCCTCCGGGGAAGCCACGCCCTTCTGTCAGCGCAGCGCTGCCTATCGAACCCCGACTGAAGCAGTACAGCAAGAAAACTTGGGTGCTTTCCAAAAGCATGAGGGCGGGGGAGCAACCTTCTAAACACACCTGAATACACATACACCTAAACGGATGCACAAATCGATCTCACCCTTCTCCATGTATTCCGTGGCCTTGGCTTTGATCTCAGGAGTTGCCTGGTTGGTCGCCTCCAGGTACCGGAGTACGAAGATATTGGGAACAAACTTGACCATGTTCTGCTCCCCGCAGCCGTAGGGCATCTTAAGCAGCCGGTCTAAATTCTGCAGCGAGGCGCCCAGAATGTCACCTGAGGGTCACACAGACCAGAGGGAGGAAAGGTTCCTTCAGCTGAGGGGGCTGGCGAAGCCATCTTCTCTAACCCCTAAACCGTGGAGTCTGGTGAGCAGAAATTCTACTTTGTTGAGCTACTGGCATTAAAGTTGTGAGCGAACGATTTGGCTCCTGCATAAATTAGTTTGCTCTGAAGCCCTCCTTCCTGAGTCAAGGCACAAACATGTGAGCCGGGGGCTAAAAAAACCTGTGAGCTAGCTCACACAAACTCAGCTTAGAGGGAACACTGCCCTGGACAGAATCCAAACAACAACATCCTCCCTCCCAACCTCCGAGGGCTTGTGGGGTGAGATCCAGTAGGACGGCGGCGGAAACACTATGTTTCAGTTCCAAGCACCGCTCTGGGAAAGGGCCCAGGATTCTGCAAGAGGTGAAGCCACGAGCAAGGATACATCGGGGCCTGAGGGGGAGCTGGAAGACAGCCCGATTCCAAGGACACCCCAGGAAAGGCCTCTCAGCAGCTGCCCCAGTATTCGGGACCCCCTTTCCTGACAGCCTTGTCTACTCCCCCACCACCCCGACAGGCTTCCCAGCATCACTGGGACACTGATTTACCCCAGAGTCACCTCACAATCCTAGGAAGAGTTGCTGAACTGAAACCTAGGGGTTTCTGCTGGAGTAACAACATTTAGGACTGTACCATTAGCCTGTTTGGCCATCGTTTTTCTGGTAATATTGTATTTAATGTGGTTTATTTTTGTGAGCCAGATGAGCGTGTCTGTTCTCAGGGAAGCAAGCAAACACTGTATAAATAGATCTTCATTTCGATAGCACATCTTCAGGAAGTTCATACTACTTCATAAAGTACTCATAATGTACAGAAGACTTTGAAATGGTATATGTAGGAGGAAAAATCCTTCACACAGCACTCACAGTGTATAAAAGCCTTCAAACCAGTATTACAGGAGAAAATTCAATCCTATTATAATTCTATTATAATAATTCACAGCCAGGCACCCGATCAGCAAAGGAACAAACTCTTCAATAGTTGGTAAGATCTAAATCTGGAGTCTTCATCCTGTCCATGTATCATTTATGGACTTGCACTATTCTTATCTGTGTACCATTTATGGACTTGCACTATTCATGGACTTGTACATTGTATGATGTAAATTTATTTTACTGATATATGTGGTCCTCTGTTACCTCTACCTCTGTTTTGCATGACTTTTGAGCAATTGTGGTCTGCGTTATTTATACAGTGTTCGCTTGTTCTCAGGGAACACACCAAGATTACAAAACCGACTTCTCATTTTTCTGTCAGGGATATGGATATAAATGGCTGTTTAGAGAATAGAGCGAGCCAATCAGGTTGCTGCCAGAAAGAGCGTATGACCCAAACTTCGACAAAGGCCAAGGGAGGGGAAGAGAGGAACAAGGGGCAAATATGCCATAAGGAAGCTACACACAGATAGGGGGCACCCCCCCAACCTGAGGTCCTTCTGCGTTCCCTTCTCAGAGCTGGCAGGAGGGATCTGGGGGAAACCAAACTGCTGAGGAGAAGGCAGCCAAGAGCGGATGCTCTGGAGGGGAAGAGAGCCAAAACAGCAACCCGTTGAAGACAGGCCACTGACACCGTGACGTGCCCTCGTCGTCTCACCCGTGGCCAAGGAGGGTGCTGTCAGCTTGCACCTCCCGGGGGGGGGGACCCAGGCCCATTTCCTCACCAATGACAGAGAAGACGGCTCGGCCAGAGTCCTCCACGACATTCTCGGGCAGCTTGAGAGAAACGTCCTCCACCACAGCATCCCCTGAGAGGAGAAGACAGTGACCACAAGGACACAGCCCGAGTTGGCAGAGACTCAGAGTGCCCCTTGCGCCCGAGGAACGTGCCTGTGGCGGACGGGATCCACGGGCCTGAGGTGCTTCCCCCGTGTGGGGAATGATGTCTGCTTTTGCCTCCCACCCTCCCCTCAGCAATGTTTGCAACTCGAGTATCGTGTTGCGACCCTGGAGTTACATTCCCAAGCTGGACCACCACAGAACCGACACAGAACAAGACTTGTGGTGCTTCACGTCGGAAAGTGGTGCATTTTAAAGACCTCCTTGAATACATTAGGTCAACGGGGAAATTACTGAACTCTTGGCATCAGGCAATAATCACATTGATTCATAAACCAGACACGGACAGTAAAGATATTAAAAATTATAGACCTATTTCGTTATTAAACGCAGATTATAAAATTTTTGCCAACATATTAGCCGCTAGGTTGAAAAAAGTGCTATCTAATATTATACACCAAGATCAAGCGGGATTCCTTCCTAATAGACAGATTAAAAATAATACTAGAACAATCCTAAATATAATAGAATATTATGACGCACACCCTGAGAAAAGTATGGCATTAATGTTCATGGATGCTGAAAAGGCATTCGATAATATCTCATGGGAATTTATAATTCAGAAATTATGCAATTGGGAATGCGGGACAAATTTTGAAACAATGATAAAGGCCATTTATGGAAAACAGTTTGCCAAAGTAATAATAAATGGGGAGGTGACGGCAGATATCGAAATTCAAAAAGGAACAAGGCAAGGATGCCCATTATCGCCTTTGCTATTTATCTTTGCTTTAGAAACTCTAAATAACACAATTAGGAGAGATCCACAACTGCGAGATTTGAAAGTAAGAGGGGAAGAATTCAAACTATTAGCCTACACAGATTATATTGTCTTCATAATGGAAGAACCAGTAGAGACAGCGACTAAGTTACTAGTGTCAATTAATGAATTCGGGGAGGTAGCAGGTTTAAAGATCAATAGAAAGAAGACAAAAATAATGACAAAAAACTGTACAGCTACAATGTTGTCAGAGCTACAAGAATTAACAGAGATGGAAATAGTGTAAAAATTCAAATACTTAGGAATAATAATTACTGATAAAAATATTAGACTCATAAAAGACAACTATGACAAATTATTGGAGGGGAAAAAAGACTTGAATCGATGGAAAAATATACAGCTTTCTTTGCTAGGCCGAATATCTACGATTAAAATGAACATCTTACCTAAAGTCCTATTCCTTATGCAAAATATACCAGTGTTAAGAAACTCACAGTTTTTCATAGAATTGCATAAGATTATTAAAGAATTTATTTGGTATCCTAAAAAACCCAGAATCAAGATGAAAACCCTACAAGATAGAAAGGAGAGAGGGGGATTTGGATTGGCAGAATGGAAATTGTACTACCAAGCAGCTGCGTTGAGCTGGATTAAAGATTGGATCTGTTTTAATAACATCAGGAATTTGAATTTGGAAGGGCACGATCTAAGAATGGGATGGCACGCTTACTTGTGGTACGAAAAGGATAAAGTACATTATAATTTTAAACACCATATATTGGAGGGGCTCTATTAAAGGTGTGGAAGGAGATTAAAGAGAAATATTATGCAAAAACACCTAGATGGGTATCACCACTA